ATGAAGAGTCAGACACAATTGAAAAACGACTAAACAATATGTGCCAGGCAAAGTGCCAAGTGCTAAGGATGCAAAAAAAAACCCCCAAAAACCGATAGTCCCTGCCTTTGAGGATATCACAGTTATAATCATGGCATATCGAGCATTTAAATTGGCAATGTTATGAGAGAATCAGTAGCCTTGTACCTGTTCAGTTTTCCTTTAATAAAAACAGCCATTTGTGTTGAGTTCACGGTCAGTTGAGGTTAATACATATATGAAACAGACAAATTTTGTGTATTTTCTGAATTCTATACTCACCATGCTAAGTAGGCTGGTAAAGTTTATATTAGATTAAATTATCTATAAATTTGCATTTATCTGCAGTAACATACAATCCAAAATTGCGTGGCATGTCTGGCTAACCTGGTATGCCCTGGCACAGTCGTTGAGAACCACTAGTCAATTCTAAGAAGCCCAATAAGACTATTTGATAGAGGCTGAGCTAAACTCTGATCCACCTGCAATGCCCATCTGTCCCTTGCTAACTGAACCCTACTGGCCTCCCCATAGGCTCTTCTCAGAATTTTTAAGATCCCCACACTCCTCAAAGAGTGATCTGTGTTTCTTTGTTGGTGGTGGTAACAACTGAGGTTGGTTTGAGGGGTTAGAGAACAGTTTGGAAAGAGAAGTGATAGCAAGGCATAGGAAGTTGTGGGAACCCTCAGAGAGACTACAGAATCAAAAGGGTTGAGAACAGTTGGATTATACCGAGGGGGTCCTTGAAAAGAATTCGTCATTTATTCAAATGACCTTATGATTTATGCAAGGCACTCTAAATAGCACTGTGATTGTTTATAATGAAAACAGGAGGAATTATTTTTGTCCCAGAAAAGCTTACAACCTAATGGGAGAAGGGAAAACACTTCACTCTAAATTTAATAAGCTGAAGCACTAAAGTTATCCATAGGTTACAGCTGCATATTAATACTAAGAGATTGCTATAGAAATTGGGAACAATGATGATGATCATGATGATGGCAACAATGATGATGATCATGATAACTGAACACTTTAAGGTATGCAAAGGACTACATACATGTTAACTATTTGATCCTGAGAACAGTCAATCAGTAAACCTTTATTGTATGCCTACTATGTGCTAATCACTGTAGTAAGAGCTGTGGACACAAAGAAAGACATGAACTGGATGTCCTCAAGCTTGTCCAGGTTAGGTACAGAGATAAGGTAGCATAGGCAATCCTAAAAGAAAATCCATCAACAAAACTAGGAGAGAAATAGAAAAATATTGAGAAAGACTACTACCACAAGGCCTACTATTATCCCCATTTTATAGATGAGCAACCTAAGTGACCTACCTAGGGTCACACAGGTGGGAAGTATCTGAGTCAACACTTGAACTCAGGTCTTCCAGTTTGTATGTCCAATACACTATCCACTCTGCCACCTACTTGCCTCAAAAAGTAGGTGGGGAGTAGAATGAATAGAATAGAAAATAGTTATTGTTCACTTAAGTCTGACTCTTCATGACCCCATTTGAGGTTTTCTTGGCAAAGATACTGGAGTGGTTTGCCATTTCCTTCTCTAGCTCATTTTACAGATGAGGAAACTGAGGCAAACAGGGGTAAGTGACTTGCCCAGGGTCACAGAGTTAGTAAGTGTCTGAAGTCAGTTTTGAACTCATCCTGATTCCAGGCCTGGTGCCATATCCAGTGTACTACCTAGATGCCCCTTTCCTATGTAGGACATTGCATTTGGAGTCACAAGATGAGAAAGCAAATCTTAGCTCTCCTATGTAAACATCTTTTGGATCTTGGGCAAGTCACAGTGCTGCTCTGAGGGAGTTGGACCTGATGGCCTTGAAGGTCCCAGACAGCTGTAAATCCTATGAAAAATGTGGGTTAGTAGACAGGTTAGGGAAGGACCTCCCCTGGACTAGATACAAAGGTTTTAATCTGGAAGGCTCATGAAAACTTATTCTTATACTTTGAGTGTGGGAATTTACAAATTAGAAATAGCAAACACTATAAATCATGACTTGGTTTATAGTTTTATTGATTGTATAGTCTTAAGAAAGTGATGGAAAAAATGTTAATGCTGAAGATTAAACTTAAAAGTATATACTGCCTACACTTTTTTTCTGAAAGTTAGTTGTTAAATATTTACCAGCACCTCCTCAGAAGTAGTTTAGCTTAGGTAGGTAGGTAGATAGATAGATAGATAGATAGATAGATAGATAGATAGATAGATAGATAGATAGATAGATAGATAGATAGATGTAAGGCACAGGGTGAGTTGAAGATGAAGGGGTGATATCTGGAGAATAAAATTAAAGGGTGAGAGAGGATTATACTGGGAGGAGAAACAAAAGAAAAGGCTCTTACAGTGGAGGGGAAACAGGGAAAGGTGAGAGGGAATGAGTGAATCTTATTCTCATAGGATTTATTCACACTCAATTGGGTATGGAAATCTGTCTTATCCTACAGGAAAATAGGGGGAAAAGGGGACAAGAGAGCAGGGGAATGATAGAAAGGAGGGCAGATTGGGAAAGGGGGTAATCAGAAGCAAACACTTCTGAAGAGGGAGAGGGTCGAAAGAAAGAATAGAATAAATGGGGGAGCAGAATAGGATTAAGAGAAATAGAGTTAGTTTTTCACAACATGACTACTATGGAAGTGTTTTGCATAACTGCACATGTATAACCTATATTGAGTTGCTTGCCTTTTCAATGAGGGTGGGTGTGGAAAGAGGAAGGGGGAAAATTTGGAACCCAAAGTTTTAAAAATACATGTTTTTAAAAAAAATGTTTTCACATGCAACTGGGAAATAAGAAATACAGGAAATGGGGTACAGAAATCTATCCTGCCCTACAGGAAAATAGAAGGGAAAGGGGATAAGAGAAGTGGGGAGAGATAGAAGGGAAGGCAGACTAAGAGAAGGGATATTCAGAATGCATGTCATCTTGGGGTAGGGGAGGGATGAGATGGGGTGAAAAATTTGGAACTCAGAATCTTGTGGAAGTAAATGTTGAAAACTAAAAATAAATAAATTTTAAAAAAGTAGTTCAGCTTGGAGGGAGCTAAGAGTGTACAGTCAGTAAAATAAGATCGATTAAGAGAAACAACAACAACAACAGTAATAATATATACTTCAAGGTTTGCAAAGCCCTTTACAATATTACTTTATTTTGTCCTCACAATCCTGGGAGATAGGTGCTATTTTAATCCCTATTTTACAGATGAGGAAACAGAGGCAAACAAAGGTTAAGTTACTTGCCCAGAGTCACACAGCAAAGAAATGTGTGAGGCTAGATTTGAACTCAGGTCCAGTGCTCTATCCACTGTGCCACTTAATTGTTTAAACAAACAGTGGAGAGAACCTAGAAGACTATATCTAAGTTTTAATTTGATTCAAGAGTCAAGATCAAGTTCTAGCTTTGGGAGCACATATACTGTTATAGAGATTAGGGCAGCTAGGCTTCTCAGTGCATAGAATGTTAAACTTGTAGTTAGAAAGCACCAAGTTCAAATTCTGTCTTGAACAATTACTACCTATATGATCCTGTGCAAGTCATTTAACCTTGGTATGCCTCAGTTTCCTTCTATGTAAACTAGGGATGGTAATACTACTTAACTCCTATGGTTGTTGTGAGTATAAAATGAGATAATACATATAAAGTTCTTCACAAACCTAGAAGTGCTATATAAATTCCAGCTGTCATTATTATTAGATAGCATGGCAGAAACATAAGGAAGAAATGTCTGTCAGAGTATTCTTTTTGAAGAGTCAAGAGAGAACAATTGTAGGTTTCTGTGGAAGGCGGTGATTTCAAAATAGAGAAAGATGTGTACTTCCAGTGTGTGTACCTAGGCCAGGTTTAGAAGCAGAAAAACCGTTAAACCATGTGATTAGAACCGTGGGTCTTCAGAGGCAGAGAAGAAAGCAGCCGAGAAAAAACCAGCGATATTTGGCAACCGATTAACAAGCATTTCTTAAGAGCATGCTATGTGCCAGGCACCTCGCTAGATGTCAGGGACCCAAAAATAGAAGCCAAACATTCCCTGCCTTTCAGGAACTTACATTCTAACAGATGAGAGAATATGGCCATATGCAGATATATGGAAAATATACCCAAAATGCATGTAAGGGATCTTGGAGTTGCTGGAAGAACAACCATCATAAACAAGTTCAAGGCTGCACTCTTAAAATTATATAGCTCGTGAGTCCCTACCAATGTGTTTGTCTATTGATAGTCTGCCAATGGACACAATTAGCTTATATACTGAAAAAGCATTCTAAGAAAAGGAGCAACACATTGGAAGGACAGTGTGCCATTCAAAGAGGACCCCAAGGTTCGGACTTTAAAGCTGTGAAGATTTGTAACCCTTAACTGTGGGTTTGCAAACCTAATGCCTGGATAAATAGCTTTTCTAAAAATGCAATCCCCTAGTTTTATTATAAGGAGTAGGTTACCCTGTGGTAATCCTATTTGAAAACAATAAATAAATCTGATAGGACACTCACCTAGGCAAGGCAAATTGTTCTGGTGAGAGGTCAGGAGAATGGCTCATAATGAGATCAGCCCATGTTCTTCCCTTTCTCCTTTGTTATGATGTTTTCTTTCTGTAGGTAGTTTCAGTGCCTTCTAGCATGCTGTGTGCAAACATCTGCCAAAGCCACCAGCCCTCATCACCTGTCCCATTTTAGATGTGCAGTGCTCATTAAAGGTAAATGCCTGAATTTGTTAACTAGGTAACAGCAAGTGTCAGGCATCAGACTAGAGAGAGAAAAATTTGATGTTATCAAGGCAGAGCTACTGTCCAAAGGTGCCTATGTGTTTCGAGACTTGTGAGCTCAATTTTAAAGTCATTTTAATGATCTTTTCCACAAGCCTTGGCAAAGCGTCTTCCCTCTTTGCACCCAAGGTAGTAATGATTCTTCATCTCTTCCAGAAAATTCAGCAGGCAAACCCAAATAGCTCATCTCTCCTCTCTTTGCAGGTGATCAAGTACAACAGCTCATAAAAAGGAAGTGATTCTGGATCTTTCCAATGCCCTAAAGAGGAAGAAGGCTAGAAAAAATGCCAGAGAATTAAATCCTTTGATCTGGAGGCAACATTTTGTTTGTCTACTTCTGAGGGCAAAGTCAGTGTGTCTGTTAAGCTAGATAAAACCTGTAAAGCAGTTGGGGGATTGGGGAGGGGCTGCTATGGGCTAAGGCAAATGGACCATATTAAACAAAAGGATTAGAAGATGGTGATTTGATTGACTCTTTTGGTTTATAGGACATACCAACGACATAACTCTGGTCTACTCAGAGTTTGTATTCCCTCTTCTTGACCTCCAAAGGGAATGTGGCCTTTGGTTAAAACCTGTTCTCCCAGCCAGAGTACAGAGAAACTTATTTATCAGGGAACAGCCTGCCATTCCTACAAGAGCTTCTGTAAACTGATTAAATTTAGGGATTGCTGTTGCCTTTTCCTACGAGTCTGAAAAGAAGATGAGCAGAAGGGCCTTGGTGCTGCAGTCTTCTCCCAGGATGACAATGATTTGAAGGGGACAGTGCAGTGGCAAGGGGTGCCAATATGAGAAAAAATCAGCAAGTCAACATCTGGGGTAGCAAATCTCAAAGTCTCCAATGATGTTGATGATGATGGAGATCTCCACTTTGGGCAGGATCAATTAAAGAAATAAATGCTAGACGTTATCTTTTGCGAAGATGATCTGGGCAGAAAGGTAATCTGATTATAATGATGACCAAGATTGCTTTGATATGAAACATTAGGCTCATGGCTTAAGGAAATGGTGATGTGATTAGCAAATATATTCACAGAATCTGCTTTGAGTTTCCTAATGTCTTTTTGAGTATTCATTGACAGCAATGTCTTGTTGGTTAGCACACAGATTAAATATACCATAATGGCTAAATAGAACTGAAACAGATGTCCTGTCATTAGGGCCATCCCTGGTGGGTGCTGGGCCTAGGGGAAACACTGAGGGCCTTCCAATTTATAGTTTTTATTCAAGTGAAAGTTGGTTGGGCAATCTTGAAGGAGTAAAGAAGGCAAAACCAGAAGCATATTAAGCACTTACTATGTGCCAGGCACTGTGCTAAACACTGAGGATACAAATACAAGTAAAAAGAACGCTGATCCCTGCCCTCATGAAGCTTATATTTTAATTGGGCAAGACAACACATAAAAAGGAGATGAAAATGAATGTGGGGGAGTATCCATTTGGCAAGAATTGGGGGGGGGGTGAGAGCAGCAGGGTGACTAAGGCCAGAGAGTCAGAAACACTCTCTGAGAGAAATAAAGCATGGTTGGTCTGGGTCCATCCATAAAAATAGGCCTTGGAAGGAACTTGTCAACAAGAGGAGGGGGTGAGCATGGCAGAAGGATGTTCCAGGGTGAGCTGCAACATATAGCCGAAAGGCTATGGCAGAGGGGGGCAGGGAGAGGAAGATAGGATGAATAATGGTTCTTGCCAGCCAGCCAGGATCAGTTCCTTCTGTATCTCTTTCCACTTCTTTATATGACAAGGAACCCGAAGGTGCCTGAAAAAAAATTTGCAAGATGGCTTTCCATAATTGTAGTAGAGAGAACACTGCATTTGACATCAGATAACTTGGCTTTGAATCTTGGCCAAACTGAAGTGTAGTCGCCTGTGTGACCTTGAACATATCACTTATTTTCTCTGGACCTGGAGTTCTTAACCTTGATACCTCTGAGTGTGCATGTGTGTGCATGTGTGTGTGTGTACACACACATATATGCGCAAATACACATATCTATATCTATATATGTATATATTGTATATGTACACACTGGTACATATTGTATGTATATATACATATGTATGTGTACCTACATATGTGTATGTCTATATATACATATAGATGGAAAGAAATCTATATTTAAATATAAATGGTTTCATTTGCATTCCTATATTTTATTTTATGCATGAAAAATTTAATTTTGAAAAGGAATCCATAGACTTCATCAGGCTATCCAAGGGGTCCAGGACACAAAAGAGGTTACAAACACCCCCATTCCCCCCAGCCATCTCCCACCCCCCAGCTTTAGGGATCAGTTTCCTGCCTCAACTGCAAATGATCCCCAAATGCCCTCGCAGCTCTCCATGTTTCTGTGGCCCTGAGTATTATCATTGCTGGAATGACGCTAAAACTTTTAATCATGTCTTTGTCTTGGGAATTCAGTTCAACCTGAGAGCTGCACGACTAGGCAAGAATTCTGTCTAGTCTGACATCAGAAAGGACTATAGTCTCATAGAGGTTCAGCATATCAGAGCATTCCTGCCTCCAGGGGAGGAAGTACCAGTTTAAATCTTCAATAATGGGGTGTTGTGGAGGATGCACTGGCTTTTATTTAAGTGAATGTACATACTTAGTAATAAAATAAACCACAGATGACTCACTAATATTAAATGTCCGGGGCCGGGATTCAAACCCAGGTCTTCAAATGTTAAAGCCAGTTCACTTTCCATGACATCACTATGTCTCTCTGATATGAAACCAATTTAGAGTCTGGATCTAGGCCTGGCTGTGTTCCCTTGAACCGTGAGTATATTAACCCCATTTCCCCCTCCACCCACCCCCAAAGGCCATCTTCTTTTCAAGTTATTTTCAGCTCATCTGTACCTACTCGTTTGCAACACTTGTCATAACAGGAAGCCAGTTTCACATACTGTAATCCCCCAAACACGTTTCAGCTGCACGTGGAGAGCCAGGGTGGGCTGAGGGAAGAGCAGGGAGATTAGGCCCCGGGGAGAAAGCAGCCAGCAGCAGCATAATGCTAGGCTCAGCACAGCTCCCAGGATCCAGCCTCTCCAGGCCCAAAGCCTCCAACACCAACATTCAGACAATCTTGTTTTTCTTCCAAATGGAGTTGGTGCCTTTTTTTTTTTAATAAAGCATTTGAGTAGGCAGCAGAGCCAGTCAGAACTGTTTATTTATAGCTGTGAATTTTCGGTGCTGTATAAATTAGAAATCATTGCTGAATGAGGTCCGCGCCCACTCACACACGCAGGGCTGCTATCTGTGAGTCCTTTCACACAGTTTGACTGTACACAGTCTAAAATGGGAGAAAATGACATGCTCCAAGTCAAATGACAGAGTCACAGCTAAACTGCAAGGCAGAAAACCAGCAATTATTTTTCCTCGGCACAATATGGGGAGTACGACAGGTGCAATTATCCAATATTATTTAACAGTGGCGGTTTGTGGTATAGGGAGAAAATAAAGGTTTCCGTGTCTTGATGGGGGGAGGGGGGAGAAAGAAAGAAAGAACCTGCCTCATAGTTCCTATTTCCTATTTCCTAGGATTAAGCACTGTTTTGTAAAGTGAAACTGGCCATTATCTTGAAAAGGAAGGGAGGCCAGAATCACCTGGATCTCCCATCCCCTATATCTCATCCTCAAACCTGGCTTTTGGATGGCCCCAAGGGTGACCAGGAAGAATTACCAGTAGTTTTAAGGACTGTAGCCTCAACTAGCCCATATGTGGTCCAAGTCAGAAACAGGTCCCTGTAAGTTTGTCTTTAGGGCACTTCTTCCTTTCCCTTTCAGAGTCTCCTTTTCTTTTTTGGAAATTCCACTACCACCCCTGCAATGACCATAACTAGGAAGCAGCAGCTATTCCATTCAGGCAGATCTTGAAAGGCAGCATGGGATCATGGAAAGAACATTGGATTCAAAATTGGAAGACCTGAGTTTGAGTCTTGGCTCTGATACTTAACACTTGTGTGACCTTGGGCAAGTCACTTCTCTTGGCCTCAGTTTCCTTATTTGTAGAAGGACGGGATTGAGTTAGATGATCTCTTAGGTCCCTTCCAGCTTCAGATTCTCTGATCTAGTAAGATGTAGACTTCTCAAGGACAGGGGCTTTCTCACTTTTGTATTTGTATGCCTAGGGTCCCTGGCATTCAGCTGGCATTTAATAAATGCTTGTTGTATGGTTGATCTCAGCTGGCTCTTCAAATCTCAATGCTCGTTCTTCCTATCTCACCTCACAATTATTTCTTCTACCAGGAATATCTTATCTCTTCCATTTATCTTAACCTAATCCTCCAACCCATTCTTCATTTCCTACCTCCTCCAAGAAGTCTTCCCTCATTGCTCCAATTCACATTGGATTTAATTCTTTTCTGAGCTCTGATTACTCTGTAGATCAGTTACCTTACCAGAGTAAGGTCCCCTGCTATATAAACAGAGGTGTAATTTTGATAAGAGCTAATAGGCACTTAGGGACAAACATTTTAGCCAGCATTTTTATGGCACTTTAAAACTGGCAAAACACTTTACAAATATCTGTTTTTATTCTCAAAATATCCCTGAGAAAGAAGTGCTGTTATTATCCCCATTTTACAGATGATAAAACTGAGGCAATTAGTTTGAGTGACTTGCCTAGGGTCACACAGCTAAGTATCTGAGGCAAGATACGAACTCTGGTCTTCCTAACTCAAAATCTAGCACCCCATCCACTGCACCCCTAGCTGCCTCTGATTTTTCTGGATGTATTTTTTTGCTTCTACAACCATAGTAATGCCTTGCAGAAAAGCAACTATCCAAAGTTTTAAAAAAAAGAAGAAGAAGAAAGCACTGATCTGGCTTCATTGCGTACACTGTCGTCAGGCACCATAAGGCACCTCTTTGTGAAACAACATTCCAAATTTCACCACATCAAACTCTTCCAGCATTTAAAGGTGATAGACACTCCTTTGGAAGACCAATTGAATCTGAAGAAAACCTTTCTGGAAGAAAATCCTGAGATTTCAGTTTCACAATCAACAATTTAACACCCTTCCCCCCCCCCCCCCCCCCCCCCCCCCCCCCAAAAGTCTTTAGATTGTGGTTGCTTTGTAATGTTTTTTTCTTAAAAATTTTGGCAAATATAAAGGAATATTTCTGTCTCATCGTTGCTTGCTCCTGTAACTATGCATTGTGGGGAAAACACACTATCTTTATAGCATTGGGCAGACAATTTCAGTTACATATGATGGCCTGAGGACTTTTTGGACCAACTTCTTTTCTTCCACTGAAAGGTGTCCTCAGAGTTGGTTTAGAAGGTAAGCCTGTTTTTTGTTTGTTTGTTTTGAGAGGCTTAGGTTGTGTAATTGCTACAGAGGTGACCTCAAAGCTAGGAAAAGACATGGGTTCAATTCTCACCTTTGATCCACAATGGCTGTCTGATCCTTAACCTTTCAGTGTACTAGGCAACTTTGCTCATCTGGG